CTCGGACCCTCCTATTTTTTGAATGTTCCCACACCAGCTGCAAGTTTTCGAAGTGTAGGCCTCATTTTGGATAATAATGCGGACCCCTAGTTCTTCTGCCTTAGCCACAAGACGTTGGCGAAATTGATAGTGGCCCCAACAGAGCATCTTACGAACGGCTTTGCGTGATATCTTTCGTGTTTTTCGGTTTACCATATTTGATACTCAGTGATAATGACATGAAATTCGCGAGTAAAAAAATGCGACACTCTTTTTATGAGCTTCACTTTGCAAGTGCTTGATTTTCGTCCCATCCGAAAAATTGACGTATCAAGTTGCGAGACCTTTTTTCTTCTGACGTTTCCATATGTTTGCATACACAAATTAGAATAATGTTCCAATGCCGTTGGCCAACCTTTAGTAGGAGAGTACCATGTGAAGGGTGTACGAGTTCACGTTATCCGATTACAACAATGAAGTTAACTAAACTATTTATATCATTGTGATCACGTTTTGTAACCCCTAGAACTTGACGAACTTGGTTATTTGTGATCACATTCTCTAGCCATTCACTTGCGTATATGCGTTTTAACGCGCGTTGCTAACTGTAAAGTCTATTTCTCAACGTTCGCGCAAACATAATTGAATATAATAAGTACGATAACTGAAATTGATATGGCAGAAAAGGATAGGCCCGAACTCGACTTTGGTAGGTGTTCTCTAACCTTCTAACCATTTATCTGGCATAGTATAAACGTTTGAACGTTCTCAAGTATTGTGAACATAGTGCTTATGTGTGTACAAAGTAGAAGTACGAATGATATTATTTGCTTTTCTGATCCTTCATTGATCGTAGCCTTACTGTTTTATCACAGATAATCAACAAGGTGAACAAAAGTTCTGTACGTTCATCAAAGGATTGCCTCAGGTTTTTAATTTTATTCGTCATTCGTTTACGCGTCAAAGTTGTGTTTCTTTTCCTTTTGACATTGATTTTTTAACCAGAAACCGGAAAACACGCTTCGACTATTTGAAAGAAGTAACGGAGTGAGTGATAGTCTGGCATATCGTATTTATGCGTACAACAAGCGAATCATATGATTTTTATTTTAAAACTTTTACTTTTAATTATCTTGAATCTTGAAGGATTTCTACAGTGTGCACGGTGAAGATGCGTTTTACATAGCACAAAATGTGTACAAGACATCTTCCGTTGTAAAGTATTTGGGAGGTTCGTAAGCCCGCAACGATGATTCTCAAAACTGTCAGTCAACTCTTATATCAAATTACTTTAAATAACTTTCTTCTTTCGATTGAAGGCGACGCAAAGAAAGGTCTACCAAGCTGTACAATATCACGATTGATGGCAGAAACTTTTCTCAGGGATGCTCTTCTAAACAAACAAATGAAGATTGAAATATGGGGTGGAGAGCCTCGCAAGAATATCTGGAGAATAGTCAAGAGGGTAGGTATGATATGAGTGTTTACTACTCGCACAGAATCTTCGCTACCATTCTGACATCTCATGATACTTTGATTCGTCAGGCGTCCCCTGGTAACTTGCAAGATCTGGAAGATCTCTTATTCACTAACGTCGACATGGCAGCATCACCAATTGTGATTGCTGTTAAGCTGGCCAGTCAGCGTGATCATAAAATTGTCGGAGTTGCGTTTGCGGACGCGACTATAAGAGAGTTGGGTGTCTCTGAGTTTGTTGACAATGAGTTGTATTCTAATTTCGAGGTAAATTCCGTAATTACGAACGTCTATGGTATACACTTTGGGACTGTTTATAACACTCGTTTTTCTCAGTCCCTTGTGATTCAGCTTGGAGTTAAAGAATGTATAGTGCCAGCTGATGAGGCACAGAAAGATTACGAACTACTGAAACTAAGGAGCGTTTTGGAAAAATGCGGCGTAGTGATGACCGAACGGCGAAAAGGTAACTGTTTATACTAGTGGCTGAATATGATTCCACGCTTACGCACTTCTTTTGACGGAGATATTTGTTGATTTTCTCACTCAACTAGGTGACTTTACGAGCAAAGACGTCGAGCAGGACCTCAATCGATTACTGGAAGAAGAGATTTCCGTTTCAAACTTGCGTGAGTTGCGGTAATGCACTGATCTTTAAGATGGTTTCTGCATTAAACTAAAGAAATTATTTAATTTACAGCCGAG